GTCTTCACTCAGGCAGTGAAACCATAAGTGTCCCAGTGACAATGCTGCCACCTGCTCCGTTCAATCCACCTGCAAAGAGCGTTCCTGAAGACGTCCCTCTGACCCAGGTAGCAGTTGAGAAGATGGTTAAAGACATCCTAGAGAAGCACCAGGCAGCACTGCAACAACAACAGCAGACACAAAAAAAACAAATTAGATCCTGTTTAGCTTGTGGTCAGCCAAAGTCTCGTTACCTGGGTAATGGCTCCTCTGTGCATTTCTTTTATCAGGCTGGTCAAGTGAAATACTTCTACTGCTCTACTTTATAAATTTATAAATTTTTAATATAAATATCTAAATATCTGAAACATTTACTAATGACGATGTCCCCATCGATAATTGTTTATTAATGTTCATTTTTTACATTTTGCACACCGTACACAAAGAAAACTCTTAGCAAATGACTTATTTTTGTACTTCATATTGTTTTAATATGTTTATCATATTTTAGGGACTCTACATTAAAAACAAGTAAAAAACACTTTTTGGCTAAGGCAGGATTCAAACTGCTGTTTTTATGGAGAAGTTTGTCCAACCCGCCTCCTGGATTTTTCTCTTTTTTCTATTGGCTACCCAGCACGCTACACCTACATGAAACTGGCCTCTCCGTGTTAGGCGAACGTGATAACCACTACACTCTTGCCTGGTTTTGGACAGAAGACCTTTTGCATGTAGGCAAACACGATGACCACTACTGTACCGAAACTGTTCCAGTCACCTTCAGGGCCTCACCTTCGGGCTGTTCCAACAGGACCTGATACTACAGAGATGACAGCTGGTCACTTATTGCAGCAAAGCTCAAAAGACTTCTACCCGGGGACCTTTCGCGTGTTAGGCGAACGTGATAACCACTATATTACAGAAACCACGAGGTGCCGGTCAGCTACCTGCTGCCTGGGTTCTGGGGAAGAGAAAAGAACATGCTTGAACATTTGCTCAGCACTGCTAAAAGGCCCTGTATGGCGTTGGTGGTATAGTGATGAGCATAGCTGCCTTCCAAGCAGTTGACTCGGGTTCGATTCCCGGCCAACGCAAGACATTTAGCCTCGATGTTCAAGTGCTATGGGGACAGGCCGTGGAACAACAGAGCAGGGAAGAATCAGTTATGTGAAAATCACCTGCTTGGGAATCTAGTCTGCTTAATGGCTTCTCTGCATGATTCCAAGAACTATTTCTGCTTTCCACTTGCATTGTAGGTGGTTGATAGCAATTCGGAATGATGTCGTTTTCCACCTGGGCACGTTCGATCCATGAGGCGGGGGGAAAAATGTAAAAAAAAAAGCAGACGCACCACCTTGTTCATCTAAGTGAGCCCTTTTCAGGGCCTCACTTTCGGGCTGTTGACAGGTGGTCGCTTATTGCAGCAAAGCTCAAAAGAGCCAGGTTGTTTCTGCCCAGTATCGAACTGGGGACCTTTCGTGCGGGAGCCGAATATAGTTAACCTTAACTTCCCTTAACTTTTCCCATTCATTCTCAATGGCAGTTCTTATCACTACGGATGTAATTTATTTTTGGCCACACGTTGATTCCATGGCACTGTAGCGGAGATGCACCAAAAGCTGGTTTGCCACCCATGATAAAACCCAAAAAAATAAAGAAAGGAAGGAAGATTCCATAGCGCTGTTCCGAGATTTGTTTTGTTTTTAAAACATACATTTTGAATTGCCTCAGCTGTCTACCATCCAGGTCAGTTATGAATCAGTTATTATTTTATTGCTTTTGATCTTTCTTGTTAATTAATTAATTTATCAATTTATTTATTTATTTTTGCCAGACGTCGGGTGACCCCGAGTAACCTCCGTCATTTAAACTGAAAAAGCGCGATAAGGCGTCAAACGCAAAACGTAAAGTAAACTACACTTATTCATCGAAAAGAAAAATGGTACAAAACATCAATATATTATGAATATCATTTGAATGGTTTGTAAAGATAACTGTAGGGTCAATGCAGAAACATTATGATGAGTTTGTAAGCCAAACTGAGTGACAAATTTATCATGTCTATTGTTTGTTCAGTAGTCAAACACAAAGTAAAATAAGGTCTTTTGGCAACAAGTGAGCACATCACACAATTAGATTAGATTTGACCAGATGTGCATCTTTTCAATTGTTGTATAATTAAATGTTAGGTCATCTTTAACATGAAACTTATCTAGTCATTCTTAAAGAATCGATTACCCTATGCATATGCATATATGAACATTATGTATAGCTATGCAAATGCTTTATGTATTTATTTATGTCAGTTGTTCATATTTATGGGTACTACTCAGGCTATCAGCATGAAGAAAGCTATTTTTTTGCCTGGGAGAATCAAAGTATCCTTCAGGAGAGGCCCATCGGGTCACTTCACATTTTTTAAATAAAGTCACTATAGGAGTCTAAAAAGTTTCCAACTCTACATATATATTTATATAAGTATATTTATTAATATACTTTATTTAATCATTTAAATCTTTTTCGTGAAAAATGCATTTTAATTATTTGTCATTTTTGTAAAGCATGTGTATGCCATTGGTTCTCAAAATGGGGTCCATGATATATAGTATACATTTTAATACTGAGCTTAATATTTGTATAGATTTTACAGGGGATCAAAACATCATGTAATATCCTCTAATCAAGGTTGGCACACTTTACCTAAGCATATACTGTGTGAGAGAGAGAGAGAGAGAGAGAGAGAGAGAGAGAGATGAAATTGCACCCCCTGTTGCACAAAGTCTGAAGCATAACCATATCTTATTTTATGGCTTGGCCCTTTTGCAGTGTGGGGTTTCCCAGCATGCCACAGTCCTGCCGCTTATGCAGGTTGTCGAAGCGCAGGATGTCCCGTGCCTGCATGGCCTATATGTGGTTTTCCCCCAAACTGTTGCCACAATGTTAGAAGCACACAGTTGTCTAGAATGTCTTTGTGTGCTGTAGCTTTACAGTTTCCCTTCACTGGAACTAAGAGGCCCAAACCTGCTCCAGCATGACGATGCCCATGTGCACAAAGCGAGCTCCATGAAGACATGGTGTGTGAAGGTTGGAGTGGAAGAACTCGAGTGTCCTGCACAGAGCCCTGACCTCCACCCCACTGAACACCTTTGGGATGAACTGGAACACCGACTGCACCCCAGACCTCCTCGACATCCCAACATCAGCGCCTGACCTCACTAATGCTCTTGTAGCTGAATAAACATGTACATTTGCAGACTTGATAGAAAACCTGTAGAGAAAAATATATATATTTGGCTCAATGTTGAGCTAATATCTCAGGCAATTTAATAATTTCATGTTAAATCGTCACATTAAATTCAAGAGATTTGTAAGCATAATCTACATGTATAAATAGAGTAATTAATATGAAACAACAAGTCCTGTAATTAAAAAGTTTAAAAGTAAAATCTTTCAATAATAGAAAGAAAATCATACGTTTAAAAATGTTCGTCCAGGCTCCCGCCCAGTTTTGGACAGAAGACCTTTTGCACGTAGGCGAACACGACGACCACTACCGTACTGAAACTGTTCCAGTCACCTTCAGGGTTTCACTTTCAGGCTGTTTCTACAGGACCTGATAGTACAGAGATGACAGCTGGTTGCTTATTGCAGCAAAGCTCTAAAGACTCAGCTTGTTTCTGCCCGGTTTCAACACAAGGACCGTTCCCATGTTAGGCAAACATGATAACCACTACACTACAGAAACCACAAGGGGTGTGTCGGCTACCTGCTACCTGGGTTCTGGGGAAGAGAAAAGAACATGCTTGAACATTTGCTCAGCAGTGCTGAAAAGCTCTGCATGGCGTTGGTGGTATAGTGGTGAGCATAGCTGCCTTCCAAGCAGTTGACCCGGGTTCGATTCCCGGCCAACGCAAGTCCTTTAGCTTTGATGATCAAGTGCTGCATGGACAGGCAGTGGAACAATAGAGGAGGATAGAATCAACTATATGAAAATCACCTGCTTGGGCATCCAGGCTGCAGAGTGGCTTCTCTGCTTGCTTGTGCGAACTTTTTCTGCTTTCCACTTGCATTGTAGGTTGTTGTTAGTGATTCAAAATGATGTCGTTTTCCACCTGGGCACGTTCTTATAAAAAACGCTTTTTTATAAAAAATGTAATAAAACAGGTGTGCCTCCATGTACATCTATTGTTAGCCAGAAGCTAGAGTGCAAACTGTGATGAAGGCTGGGTGTTTTCCTCAGACAGCCAACTGTCTAGTCGAAGTTTTAGATTTAATACAGTATAATGCATTCCAAGGTCAGTGCCACTATGTTGAGCTCTGACGCTGCGTGTAGCCACGCTGACTTGACATCACTCCATAAACGGTGAAGGAACTGGTAGTTGAGAAGATTCTGTTGACGAATGGCAATTTCAAGATCAGGGGCGTTTTCTTTGGCTTTTGTTGGTTGGAGGTGGGGAATTACATGTTGCAACCTCGAGTCAATGCTCTTGTCTTCTTGGGCAATGAAAGTGCCACACTTCCACATTCAATGGAAAGGCAGAGACTCCCTGATTTCTTGTAAGCAGCCGTTATCTGCCTTGCTGCAAAAGCACAAAGGAAGGGAAACCGCTTCTGCCTGCTTTTGGACAGAAGACCTTTTGCATTTAGGCGAACGCGACGACCACTACTATACCAAAATTTTTCCAGTTACGTTCAGGGCCTCACTTTCGGGCTGCTCCTACAGGACCTGATACTACAGAGATGACAGCTGGTTGCTTATTGCAGCAAAGCTCAAAAGACTCAGATTGTCTCCACATGGCTTCAAACCGGTGACTTTTCACAGGTTAGGCAAACATGAAAACCACTCCACTACAGAAGCTACACAAAGACTCTTCAGGCTCTCAATCTGGGCTTGTTCCTAAAGGAGTAGCTGCTGCAGACGCCCAGCTTCTGCAAAGCTCAAGCAATAAAGTCTGTTTCTGCCCAGTTTTGGGCCAGAGACCATGCGCCTGTGAGGCAAACGTGATAACCACCACACTACAGAAACCACAACATGCCCTTTGCCTGACTTCTGGGGAAGAGAAAACAACATGAACATGGCCTCGGATCGCTCGAGATGGATTTTAATACCTGGTGTCAGTGTTTTGTGGAGAAATGGGACCCTTTTGGCTTTCCACAATCCCTTACCATTCATACACGCGCCTCTCTCTGCTTGAATTTGCTCTCTTGACGCTAATACAAAAGTAATACAAACACAATGTCTTCCCTCTTCTAAAATCACCACTGAACACTGCATTCACACTTACGAGTTCAAATGAGTCAGAGATTTCTCCTCTTTTCAGACACAGAGCAAACGATAGCTGGCGTCTAAATTTGGGAAAGAAAAAAAAAAACACTTAGCAGATTACCGTTACAACATTATACACAGCAGTAAAAATATATATTTTACAGGAACTACGGAAATTAAATAACAACAGAATTCACTAAAAACACATTTGGAATGTTGTATCCCTACAACTATGAATTAAAAATGTATTTGACTAATAGCTGGCTAGTTTTCTCATCGCTAGCATAAAAGACAACAGGGTTTAGTGGTGAGCATAGCTGCCTTCTAAGCAGTTGACTTGGGTTTGTTTCCCAGCCATTCTCCACCTGGACACTTTGGGCAATGCATCTGAATGTAAATTAAAATTACCATATAAATAAATTAAATTTAATCCCTCTTTCTTTTTTCAATGGGTGGCTTGCACCAGCGGATCAAAAGACATTTATGCATAGTTAGAACTTTGAAAAGCAGAAATTAAAAAAATAAAATAAAGAAATCTCTGAGTCTGTACTTTCAAATATCAACAAACTGCACAGTCCCCAGAAATAATCCTGACTGCATGGCATATGGAATTCCTTCAATTACCACACAAAAAAATCCTCATCAACTGCATACTTGGTTTGCACATCCATATAGGTAATTTGATCCCAACTTAAACTGAAATCAGTGATAAAGTTGACTATCTATACCCAAAGCTTATGTTTAATCATTTTGTTCAGCCTCTGAGTGTTGGTGTATCAGAATTTGTCCTGTAGATCGAAACAATGGCGCAATTTATACATGAAATTCCACAAGAAACTTCTGTTTATATGTCTGTTTTTTTCATTATTTTCATTTAATTTATTTTCAGACAGAGGTAAAACTGTGAAGTTTTACGACATCTTCAGCACAGACGAGTTACACATTGCGGTTTCTTAGTAGCATGACAAGCTGCATTTTAATAGTGTGAAAAGTGAGACAGGTGAGGGAACGACTCTTTATAGCTGCTATAATGTAAATCAAAACAGGAACTAACTTGTTTCACTGATGTTCCTCAGCATTGTATGGAAGTATAAACGGACAAAATGGTGCATATACTGATATAGCAATAATGGTCTGTGTAAATGCATTCAGAATATGTATATATTTTGTAAGTATGTATTTGTATGTATATAGCCATCTATCCTTTTTATGTATTCCTGTTACTGTGAGGAAGACAAGGAACCAACACGTGACAGAGTACAGAAAAGACAAAAGACAGAAAGATGAGACAAAAATTTCATTATGATTGTAGGTGTTAAAATTGCTGATGTGTAGTTTGTATGCATTTAATGATTGGGGGCATACTGTAGTTAATGGTTCAGGGTGTGTGTGTGTATATGTAAGTGTGGGCAATTATATGGATATCAGTATGAAGCAAAAAAAAAAAAAGGCACTAAAATAGCCATAGTTATTACAATTGAATGGGGAAAAGAGAAAATAAATAAATAAATAAATAAATAAATAAATAAATAAATAAATAAATAAATCTGTTGGAGTTGGTCATGAAAAGAAGCTGCCAGGCCACAGCCATCATCCACCACTTTTTTCTTTTTGTGTTTATATTAGAAGTTCACATGTCAGTACTCTAATGACATATGGACTAATGTGATGCATTAAAAGAAGCGAGTTGTGCAATATCAAGTTGGTACAGCCAGGTTAGAGGATCAAGTGGGGGCAAGGCGTGGGCATCCAGGTCCCCCACCCCAGTACCCCAGGGGAGCCCATCCCACCACAGCCCACCAGAGGTACAAGGCTAGGCCAAAAGATTTGCTTAATGAGCCTTAAGGCATCAATCAAAAAAGAAACAAAAAATATAATAATAATAATAATAATAATAATAATAATAATAATATGTACGTGGCATCAAGTGGGATATATTGGCAGCAAGTAAACAGTCAGTTCTGGAAGTTGATGTTTTGGAAGCAGCAAAAATGGGCAAGTGTAAGGATCTGAGTGACTTTGACAAGGGCCAAATTGTGATGGCTAGACGAGTGGGTCAGAGCATCTCCAAAAAGGCAGGTCTTGTGGAGTGTTCCTGGTATGCAGTGGTTAGTACCTACCTTAAGCGGTCCAAGGAAGGTCAATCAGTGAATCGGCGACAGGGTCATGGACACCCAAGGCTCACTGTTGTGTGTGGAGAGCGAAGACGAGCCCGTCTGGTCTGATCTCACAGAAGAGCTACTGTAGCACAAATTGCTGAAAAAGTTAATGCTGGCTCTGATAGAAAGGAGTCAGAACACACAGTGCATCGCAGCTTGCTGCGTATTGGGCCACAGACCAGTCAGAGTGAACATGCTGAACCCTGACCCCTGTCCACTGCAGAAAGTGCCTACAATGGGCACCTGAGCATAAGAACTGGACCATGGAGCAGTGGAAGAAGGTGGCCTGATCTGATTAATTTCTTTTACATCATGTGGATGACCGGGTGTGGGTGAGTTGCTTACCTGGGGAAGAGATACACTATGGGAAGGCAAGCCGACAGAGGCAGTGTGATGCTCTGGGCAATGTCCTACCTAAACATTGTTGAAGTACACCCCTTCATGGCAATGATATTCCCTAATGGCAGTGGCCTCTTTCAGCAGGATAATGTGCCCTGCCACACTGCACAAATTGTTCTAGAATGGTTTGAGGAACATGACAAAGAGTTCAAGGTGTGGTCTTGGCCTCCAAATTTCCCAGATCTCAATCTGATCGAGCATCTGTGGCAAGTGCTGGACAAACAAGTCAGATCCATGGTGGCCCCACCCCCCAACTTACAGGACTTAAAGGATCTGGTGCTAACGTCTTGGTGCCAGATACCACAGCACACCTTCGCACCATCAGTGGAGTCCATGACTTGATGGCTCAGAGCTGTTTTGGCAGCACAAGGGGGATCTACACAATATTAGGCAGGTGGTTGAGTGTTATGGCTGATCGGTGTAAACTCTATTAATAGATTATTCCACTGATTTAGATTAAGTAAGCAGTTTGACTTCCAGTCTTGAAGAACTGCTTTCTTGGTGATGGTTAAAGAAATCAGCAAACTATCCTTGTGTTTGGCTGGTATGTTGATCAGTGTGAGGTCTCCAAGCAGGGATGGAGATGGGGGGATTTCACAGCTCATGATAGCCGAAAGTTTTTGTACGACTGACAACCAAAATGTTTGGACTGGTGGACATGAGATGCCCATGGTACATTGTGAGCAGATGTCAATATCGACTAATCCCATTTTGTATTTTTTTCTATTGTGTAATATGTATTCTATGAATGATTTCATACTGGATGAACTGGATGAACTGTAAGTTAGTGTTTGTTGCCATTGTGAATTTATTTTTACAGATATCTGTCCAGAAATCAAATGTGGGAGAGTTGGAAAGGCCACGGTTCCATTTAATTTTACGGACGTATATGGTGCTATCTGTATTGACTAGTAGTTTGTCTAATTTAGAAATTATTTTTTCTGATCTTTAAATTGGATTGTCAATTGGATTGTAATATCTTGGGGGGATTAAGTGTATTATCTGTTATGTCGATTTTACTTCTAATAATTGATTTAATTTGTATATATTGAGAAAACTGCTGGCTCCCAAATTTATATTTCCGGCCTGAATGTTTGAATGACAGGAAATGATTATTGTGGAAGAGATGATGAAGATTTGTAATTCCATTCTGTTCCCAGGTGCAGTAGTAAATAGGAGTCTTATAAAGGTGGCAGTCTGCATTGTGCCAAATGGGGGTATATTTACCTGGTTTTAGAGTAGAACTGATGATTCTCAAAGCTTCTCAAAGCCATGTATCCTTTCATGTATATATCTCTTGTGCCGCATTCATCAAGTATGACGCATAGTCTATGCTACTAGATAAGGGGTTAGTTATTTATCTCAAATTTTGTGTGTATGATGTAAGCATAATCATCATCAGCTACTGAAGATATGGGTGAATATTTCAATTAAAATTAATTCCAACATGTATTTTTTAATGTGTCTTTATTTAATATAAAAAAGCAATAATGAGTGATAAAATGTATTTTAACAAAAGAGAAAAGCAATAATTTTGGCTTACATAATGGCAAACTTATTTTAGCAAAAGGTGATATATGATGAAAAGCTTTATCCCATTAAACCACTTTATTTAGATAAAAATGAGATACGTAAAGAAATTTTCAGATTAATGGATAACGGATTTAACAGCTTGGCTGAGTTTAGGTTGAGTTTTCATACAGGCGCTGGTCAACTACATCAATGGCCCGCTGCACCCACTTAAAGCCTGGGTCCACGCACACGCGGCTGGAATTCTGGGTAGTAAAACTGGAAAGAAAAGGAGATTTAAGCCAGTGTTGAACCACAACACTGAATCACCAAAATGAGTGAAATTAACCAATAACCAATCTTATCATTAAAAATGTAATAAAAAATGCTTACATGATTCCAGTTTTCGGACAGTCATTGCTCGTATTTTCGTACCCTTTAATGGCTCTTACAGGTATCGGCTTCTTAAAGAATTTGAAACAACAGTCCTCTGGTCCTTTTGCACCTGTGTAAAATTTTTTTAACATTTTTAATTAATTTGATTATTATGTCAAAATACTCTATTGCCTAATAAATGTCTATTTAAAAAAACAAAACAAATAAAAGACAGCTATTTTTTTTTTAAAAATGTGGTACTTGTGTTCAAATTTGGAGAAACGGATGTATTTCCGAACAGCTCCGTCACTGGCTGTC